ATAGATAGATAGATAGATAGATAGATAGATAGATAGATAGATAGATAGATAGATAGATAGATAGATAGATAGATAGATAGATAGATAGATAGATAGATATTCAAAGTAATGAGGTAAACAAAAGTGGACAGCAGTAACTGACAAGAAACAGAAGTAGAGGCACGTTCGCTGAGGGTGATTTGGACAGGTCTGTTTACGGTGCTTTAAAGGGCTCAGTGCCAGATTATGGAGCTAAACGGTTCCCTTTAGTCTTTTATCCTCTCCACCATGGATCTGGCTTTCCACAGCCTGCCCTCCTTTAAAGTAATGACAGCTGCTTCCCACAGCATTCCACCAGTCACGCTGTGAAGAGAGGGGATCTACCCGTCCTTAGCGAGGCAGGATGTAGGAAAACTGAGAGTGATAATGACCTCGGCAGGAATGATAATAATGATGACGACGACAGAGAAGTTTGAGTGGATCTTTACCACGTACGTGAAATGTGGCAGCCCATCGGAGGAAACCCAAAGCCCCGCCACCCACCCCTCCAGCCCACTTCATCAACCCACATTTTCCCGATCGATGCAAAACCCATCACACGCTCCTATTGATCACAGCGTTGCCGTGTCGCCACAAGCCTCAGGACAGACTCCCGTTTCCCAACCATCTTTTAAATGAAAAGGAATTATACATTTGAACGTTTTCTTTTCATGTCAGTCCATATCAGAGTCACAGGAGCAAAAGGCTGATTGCTTTATTAAAGCAGCTGTGCATTCTCCATTTCATTTTTGATCAATATTTTAGCATTTAATGTACTTTCCTGCGAAGGAAAATCCGGCTATTCCCGCTGATCCGATTAAGACATCCAGACATAATCAATAGGGGGGATATGTTTATGTTTTTAATGAGACCGAGAAGACGAGAACTGATGTTCAGATGACATGTATGATTTCACATGCAGAAAATAGAGCCAGTGCCAGTCAAACCAAAAAAAAGTGGTCTTTTGGTATTTTTAAGACTGAATAACTTTATGCAAAATATAAAGTGTATGTCAGACTACCTTAAAATAAAACACATTTTTATTTGGCAATGCTTAATTCAAGGCTAAATTCCACATTTCTTGCATTTTCCTGCTCCACTCTTGTGTTGCCAGCTTTCTGAGGTGGGTACATACTTGCGTCCAGACCTAATTTGTCTCCCTTCCTCTGCGCGGCCTGCTCACACAGAGTAGAGACACAGGGTTTTGTGGCATCTGACAGGAAATCTATTGAGCGCACAGTCTGTGTAATCCCACCATCACGTTATCTTCAGAAGAAGAAACCGTAATCCAATCATTAAATCTGTATTTAAGCAAAAACAGATTTTCGGCTCTATGACCGTGACTGTGTCTCTTTAAGGAGATCAGTGCAGACCAGCCTCGCACCACCCTGCATTTTCAGGCAGCAGTTTAGGCTCTCATTATAGTTTTGCTCTCATTTGCCGTTTTACATTCTCAGCACTGTAAACTCCCAGCACGGCTGTAATTTAGAGAAGAACAGCTGAGTAGGAAAGGGAATCGGGGTTTATTTTTGGAGTGAAATCTGGACTAGTGTAAACAGTGAGTGTTAATGAATGAAAACAAAGATGAGAAGGATTGTGAGAAAAAAATTTCTGTAGAGGATCAGAAATTTGCAGATTTCTCAAAAGTGCAAAAAAGTGCAAAAAAGGACAAAATTGTTACGTGTCAATAAGTAGTAATGACATATTGTAGTGGGCTGAGGGACACGGTCTTCCTGTCACGCTGCTTGTATGTAATTAAATTCTTGATTCACGAGCAAACTGCCTGTTATGGCTGACCTTCTGACCTCGCCATGAAGAAAGTGTATCAGCAGGAGGAAGTTCACTCTGTACGCCTTCCTAAATGTTCTGGGCATTCAATTCAGTCTCCAGAAGCTGGTACAGATGAAACCGTTTCTTGTTGGTTCATTTATGCAGGGAACACGAGACAATACCTTCAGTTCTCGGAGCCGGTGTTTTTAGTTTCACTTCGGCCACACACCACTCGATCAGCGGCCACTTTGATGAACTCAGCGCGTTGCCTGAAATCATCAGTTGCTTTAATCAAATTACTGACATAATGAGAAATCAGTGACACGGAAAATAATCAAGGTGCATGAAGGTAGAACCAAAAAACTTGTGGTTTTCTTTTAAAATATAGAATTGTTATTATATTTATTTTTGCCATTACATTTGAGATTTGTGCATTTTAATGCGTTTGATTGTTGTCATCAAGCACTTTGTGATTCTTAACAGGAATAGTGCAATATATATACATATGACTTTTTGATCACGTTGCAAAGCAGCTTTATCAGTGTACTAGCATTTCATATAAATCTGATAAAATAAAAACTCAGTGTTGCATTTAAGTGCATATCATTATTTGATTCACTTTATACTAGTTAAAAGTTTGTTGTATGTTGCTGTCTGAAAACACACATACTGTTATCTCTTTCGTCTACGTGCAATAAATCGATACATTTATTTTCATCTATTTAAACCCACGAGGAATTTGTAACTCACTCCAGACAGACATTAAACTGCTGACATTAAACTTCTGCAAGTGCAAAACCTTCAACTTCGCCGCCACAGCAAAACCGAATCAACAAACCCCGTGTCAACATTCGACTTCTTACACAAAGCTCACGAAACAGACACTGAGTCCCACAAATCCATCATTTGCACATTTTCCTTTCGCTGCCGCGTACTTGTTTGGCTCGTCTGCCGGAGGAGTGTGGAGAGGGATAATTACTATAGCCACAGGGCTGCATTAATCAGCTGGGTGCATTTGTTGGGCTTTATTATGTTCCACTCCCCTCTCTGGGCTGCGCCGACTGAACCACCAGGACGAGACAGGGCTGGTGGAGGACCGCTGTCGCCCCGCTGCCCGCTCACGCTGGGTTAATAAATGCTATTAGCCTCTATCTCTTGCCTCTTAATTTCTCATTTTACTGAGGGCAGTTAAAATAAAACTACGTGAGCGCTTGTGTAAATGAGAGACTTGTTGCAGGGCTCCGATATCGCTGACTGCGAGAGCCGGACTCCCACAATGTGACTGGATTCACTTTTCTTCTGCTGGTTCGTGCTGTTAAAAATGTCCATGCAGTCAATTCAAGATTGATCATTTACTATTGTGGGATATTGATGTGACATCACTGATAGTAAGCAACAGGCTGAGTGTGACCAAATGTGAGCATACAGCTTCTCCAAAAACATCTTTTAAGGTCCTGCGGGAGTTTATATTGCGAGCAAATGTATTATAAATATGTAAGGCTGAGAGGGATGACACCCAAATTAGCTAAGCAGCCTCCATCAGACCTTTGACTAAGTATTCGGTGCAGAGTCTGCATCATAATTAGAGAAATCCGCTGTTATGAACTCTTAAATCACTGCCTTGTTGGTGCTGTTACGTATTGTGCTCTTTGTTAAATGTTTTCACTCATCAGAAGTCACTTTGGTTAAAGGCAATCACCAAATGGCATATATTAACTTAAGGACATTTCTCCAACCTGCGCTGCATCTTTGAAAGCCGCGATTGTGATTCCAGCGACAGCAAACGGTCTCCGCTGTGTTTAATCACATCACATATAAACAAAATCAATTTTACCCCCCACACTCTAATTTTAAACGACTCCTTGACACCGCTCGAATCCTCTGCGACTCGCCCACGTCAACTGCATAACACAAGAGGGTCTGGGATGGAGTCACCTTTGATGCAAAGCCAGGTTGTGTCATTGTCGGATCAATACATTCATCTCAAGTTCATTCCAATATGGAAGCTGGCAAAAAGGGGAGCCTGGTGCCGTCAGCTTTTTAAAGCTTTACGATGCTTGCGCGCATGTCCGTGTCTAGACCCTGCCGATAAAAACGGCTAGCCCAAAGAGAAGTGGGTAACACAACTGATTGGACAAAAAGAAAACACACAGGAATGCATACGAGCATCTAGATCTGCATGATAGCAAATGTGCACATTAGTCAGCCTCACTGAAAGTGTCTGAAAGAAGAAAAATATAGCACGTTCTCAAATTCATGTCACAGAGCTGCCATTTGGGCTCATACCGACTTCAACGTCTCAGAACACCCACAGGGCACTAGTGACTCTTCAATTACGAGCTTCCCTCTGAGGAACGGTTAACTTAAGTGCGAAACTTTCTGTTTTAAATGAGCGCGTTTGATAGGGAAATTATCCTCTTCGTTCGTCCCAAACCCACAAGGAAAGAAGCTCTTTGTGTGAATGAATTACCTCCATGGGTGAAAGAATTATCAAAACAGTTAAGCGGAGATTTGGTGGCGTAGCCCGTAAAAGAAGCTCTCTGAATATTAGTTTAGCTGCCGAGAAATCATCAAGTTAAAAAAATAAATAAATAAAAGCAAACATTTATGCAAAGCAGCCTCATTGGCAGCAAATCTCATTTCGGAGAGAGAGGCTTGGTATTCCAGGCTCGGCTCCCCCAAGATCCAGGGATGACTTTCATTTAGTCTCACCTCTCCCTCCAACTGGGGTCACCCCTGTTGGTATAGCAAGCACAGCAGTCACATTGCTCCGCCATGCACACAGATTGCTTACTAGACCCGCCTGGAACCTTTCATATTTCCCAGTCAGCATTTTTACAGGATAATTTTGGCAGCCT